TCCTCCCTTAATTTCTCTGCTTCCTCTCCTGGCTTTCTTCCCCATCGCCTTCTCTGCCTACCTGTTTGGGCTCAGTCAAAGAAGCCCGGGGGGTGAACTGAATTCCCAGCCAGTGGCTCCGCAGCCAGGCGTATAAGCCACTGAACTATCCAGCCAGCTGAGCTGCTCCTTATGGTTGGGGATTGTTGTGCAGTCTTCGTACATTGATTATCCCTGGCGTCCAAACAGGTTCCTGTGGCTTCTTTGTTTACATAGGAAAACAATCTTCATTGTGCTTGATAAGATAGGGATTAAAAGATAAGGGTTGTTTTTATTATTTGTCCCATTTTTCTTTTCCGCCTTCAGCTTCTCTCCCTCATTTTGCCAGCAGCCTACCTGGCAGGTTAGATCAGTCTTAAGACCAGTCAGTTTGGCAATGTGGCTGTGGATTTGAACCAGGGATCTCCCGGGTGTAAAAAAAAAAAACCCAACAACTCTGAGAATGTGTACGCACTCTTTTGTAAGGTTGTACAGTGAGCGTTCCGTGACTTGACCCTGATCCTTGTGTTTGAAGAACCTCTTGCATGCTTAGGGCAGAGCATCGGGCCGAACAGTTTGGCATGTGGCTTGCTTGCTGAGTTACCTGGTTGCTGGTAAGTCTCTGTCAGGTTTCCCCAGTCTGTCACTCACCGAACATGTTCTGTGGAGTATAATGCTCCTTTTCTCCAGCCAGCACTATGTCAGTAATGTCACATTACTGAAACAGCGACGTCTACGCTGGCTTGGGCACGTTGTGAGAATGGCTGATGGTCGGATTCCAAAGGATCTCCTATATGGAGAATTAGTGCAGGGAAATCGCCCCAGAGGGAGACCACAGCTGCGATACAAGGACATCTGCAAGCGAGATCTGAGGTGTCCCCAGTCTGTCACTCACCGAACATGTTCTGTGGAGTATAATGCTCCTTTTCTCCAGCCAGCACTACGTCTAGGAAAGCAGGTCTAATTCTTTTAAAGTGGAAACAAGATTTCTCATGAATTTTGCTTAGCACAGTTGTGTCTGTTCTTTCTTCATTGCTGTATCGATACTGTAGTTCCTAAATTGGGTGCCACATAGTAATGAATGTACAATTGAAACTGAAAGCAATTTTCATTATAACTTTCACATGTTCCTCCTTTGGAGTGTCTGGAGAGAGTCTGAGAGCAAAGCCCTAATACTTGGAAAATTAGAGATTTATAGTAGCATACCTGTATAGATGAACTGTTACAACTATTCATGTTTGATAATTTTGTATTAGCTTTCCTGAAGCTCTCTTCTTGAAATGCTATGCAAGGAATTGTGGGCTTTGAATCTTAAACACTAGACCTGTAGCAAGAAATCTGTTCTCTTAGAATTGATTTATTGATTGAATTTATACCCCGCTCCATCTGGCAACCAGGCCACTCTGGGTGGCTAACAACAATATAAACAACAATATTAAAACATGATGAAAAATAAATTAATATATAGCCACATTTTGTTGTTGTTGTTTAGTCATTTAATCATGTCCGACTCTTCATGACCCCAGAGTATGCCAGGCCCTCCTGTCTTCCACTGTCTCCCGTAGTTGGGTCAAATTCATGTTGGTCACTTTGATGACCCTGTCCGTCCATCTCGTCCTCTGTCGTCCCCTTCTCCTCTTGCCTTCACTCTTTCCCAACATCAGGGTCTTTTCCAGGGAGTCTTCTCTCCTCATGAGATGGCCAAAGTACTGGAGCCTCAGCTTCAGGATCTGTCCTTCCCGCGAGCACTCAGGGTTGATTTCCTTCGGAACGGATAGGTTTGTTCTCCTTGCAGTCCAGGGGATCCTCAAGAGTCTCCTCCAGAACAACAATTCAAAAGCATCAATTCTTCGGCGGTCAGCTTTCTTTATGGTCCAACTCTCACTTCCATACATCGGTGCTGGAAAAGCCATAGCTTTGAATATGCTTTTTAAGATGCTGTCTAGGTTTGTCATTGCTTTGCTCCCAAGAAGCAGGCGTCTTTTAATTTCAGGGCTGCTGTCACCATCTGCAGTGATCATGGAGCCCAAGAAGGTAAAATCTGTCACTGCCTCCATATCTTCCCCTTCTATTTGTCAGAAGGTGATGGGACTGATGGCCAAGATCTTAGGTTTTGGGTTTTTTTGATGTTGAGCTTCAGACCATTTTTTGCGTTCTCCTCTTTCACCCTCATTAAGAGGTTCTTTAATTCCTCCTCACTTTCTACCATCAGAGTGGTATCATCTGCATATA